AGAAAACAGGAGCAGGAACGTAGAAATGGACAGCTGAGGAAAAGAATAGGGCATACCCTCCTCTTATAAAATCAGAGCTGCTCTAGCTGGTTTGGCTCAGTGGATAGTGCGCCATCCTGCAGACTGAAGAGTCACAGGTTCAATTCCAGTCAAGGGCACATGCCTGTGTTGTGAGCTCGATCCATTCATGGGGGTATGCAAGAGGCAGCCGATCAATGATTCTCTCTCATCATTGATGTTTCTCTCTCTCTCTCTCTCAATCTCTCTCTCTCTCCCTTCCTCTCTGAAATCAATAAAGATATATTTTAAATAAGTAAATAGACAGATGATGGATAGATAGATAGATAGATAGATAAAACTAAAGCCAATAATTTCAACAGGTAGTTGCTGGAATAAGACATAAAAAGTGTAAACATTTAAAATATAACCAAATAAAAGTAGCAAAGACAATGACATAATTATATTGGGAATATATAGGGTGTCCCCAAAAATCTATACACTCTTTGAATAATTATTAATTCCAATGAGTTAAATCTGGAAGGAAACATCTATTGAGCTATCAGCTGTTAAAGTGTGCACAACCTGTATACATTTTTTGAGACACCTTGTATATAGAGGGAGGAGGGAATTAGGGGAAGAGTAAGCTACAACCTCAGCTGTTACAGGAGAAAACTGATTGATATCTACTATTGATTAATCAGGACATGGCACTCTAAGCCTTTATTAGAGGCTTTTATGTCACCTCTGAAATAGACAGCTAACTGGACTAAAAGTAGTTGATTTGAGGAGTTAGAAAAAAGGCAGACTGTGCATTTTTAATATCTGCCCTGCTGAATCATTTTTAAACCAGATATATTCATTACCGTATTTTTCGGACCATAAGACGCTCCGGACCATAAGACGCACCAGTTTTTAGAGAAGGGAAATGAAGAAAAAAAGATTCTGAAACAAATAGTGTCCTAAAATATTTTATGTGCATTAAAACCCAACATCACAGTCATAAACACATGTAATCAACCCTGTAAAGTAAACAGCAGCATTTAGAACCATTTTAGAGCCGGGCAAGCACACAGAGACCACACAGAGCCGGGCAAGTAAAAAAACTTTTTTTTTAAAGTATATGTGTAGGCTATATTTGGACCATAAGACGCAGGGACTTTTTCCCCCCACTTCTGGGGGGGAAAAAGTGCGTCTTATGGTCTGAAAAATACGGTACTTTGAATTCATGATTCATAATATTCATTATAAATTACTTTGAATTCATAGATTCATTACTTGGAAAAAAGAAAAACCAGATGTGGCCGAACAAGCTAACATCTAACTCCTTCCAGCTCTCAAATCCAGACTACAGAGCCAGGCGTGGAGACTTCTATCCCAAGATGACAGGAGACCTCTGAAGTACCTCCTTCAGCATCACTCTGGATGTGCTGCCTCAGCGTTTTTTAGAGTAATGGGGAGAAGAACGGCTTGTGCAATTGCTAAGTATGGTGGCCTTTTGTCCCGAATCCATTAGGATTCTATGGAGCCACAACCTTATAGAAGACCAGTTCTGCTGTGGTAATAGCTACCATTCATTAGGTACATTTGTATGCAAGATGTCATGCTCTGTGCTGTTTAAATATCTCACTTACTAAACCAAGCTGTTATTTTTTTGTTTTGTTTTTAGTATTTTTAGCAATATTTTTATTTATTTTTGTTTTGTTTAAAGTATTGCATATAGTATCACATATGTGTCCTTTCTCCCCATTGACCTCCCCCCATCCACACCCACCTCCCCACACATGCCCTCCCTCCTCTAATATCTGTATCTGTGTCTATTGGTTTGCTTATATGCATGCATACAAGTCCTTTGGTTAATCTCTTACCACTCCCCACCGCCAAGCTGTTACTATATCCATTTTACAGATGAAGTAACTAAGACCTCAGGTGAGGGTAATTAATTAACCAGATATCACATCTATATAAAAAAGGGTAATATGCAAATTGACCGAATGGTGGAATGACCAGTTGTGATGATGTGCACTGACCACCAGGGGGCAGATGCTCCATGCCGGAGTTGCCCCCTGCTGGTCAGTGTGCTCCCACAGGGGGAGCACATTTCAGCCAGAAGCCAGGCTCACGGCAGGCAAGCACAGCGGCGGTGGCAGGAGCCTCTCCAGCCTCTGCTGTAGGGCTAAGGATATCTGACTGCCTGCTTAGGCCTGCTCCCAGACATTCCTTGAGGGCTCCTGGGCTGAGGGATGCTCCCTCAAGTGCACGAATTTCATGCACCAGGCCTCTAGTAGCTAAAAAAACCCTTGGTAGGAATTAAAACTCATTGTTTTAACAACTGCACTCTATTACCTGCTAATTAGTCAGTGAAGTGACCTAATCACATGAGAGGGAGGTATTATGAAGGCTGTTGGAGTTATGAATAGTGGGGATTTTGATTCTTTTGGATTTTCACAGTGATTTAGAACTGGATTAGTTTTTCTTTTATGCCCTAAGAAACAAGGCAATCTAGCACAGTCATATTGGCCTAGGCTTAAATTCAGCTCTGCCATTTATACTATGACCTCAGATGATTTGCTGAATTTCTCTTAATCCTTTATTTCTTCATTCATGTGACAGAATTCCTAACTGAGCCTACTGCTTAAGGCTATTGAGCGGATAAAGTAAACTGTGTAGGTTATGTGAACATTCAGCATAATGCCTGGCCATGCAGAGTAAGTGCTCCAAACATTACTGAGGAACCCCTTATTCTTTTTAATGCCACTTCAACAGGTGGGCAGGAAGCATGAAATTAAGATGTTCCACATATCAAACATGTTAAACTCTCCTAATGAAAGGTATTTTTAATTTTTTTCCTCTTCCTTTTTTTTTAAATCCTTACCCAAGGATACATTTTCATTGATTTTTAGAAAGTGGAAGGGAGGGAAGAAAGGTGGGGAGAGAGGACCACTGATGTGAAAGAGATACATTGATGTGTCTGCACAACCCCCCTGCGTAACCCCCATGGTCCGATCCGGGCCAGGGATGAAAACCTGCAACCCAAGTAGGTGCCCTGGACAGGGAATTGAACCCTTGACTCCCCAGATGTTCTAATCACTGGGAACAGTGAAGTAATTAAGACCTCAGTTATCACCAAAGTTAAGTAGCTAATCATCACTCACAAAATCATTCAGACTATAATTATATTACTGTTAATTATAATTTATATAGAGTTGAACAGTAGATAATGTACTGTGCTTTAAGTTAACGTTTTGAACTTCATAAGAATCCTGTATGGTAAATACTAGTAGCATCCCAGCTTTACAAATTAGAACACATGCTCAGGGATTCAGGTATGAATGTTTCTTGGATTCTTTCCTTGGTCAACTTAGTGAGTGAGAACTACTGAGTTTTTACTTAATAAACATTGTTAATAGAAAAAGTAGTCTGAATCTCAAGATCTATTATAAAATTAACAGATACAAAAGCAAACTCATAATATACTAAGTCACCATGGAAAACGTGGTTTCTTCCTATAGGTATCGAGCAAAAAAAAAGTTTGCTAAACACTGATCCTGTGTCTAGCTTCACATTTTTACTTGCTGTGGGAGTTTTAATAGTCAGTCTAACTGATTTATCCATTTATAAAATAAGGAGAAATTTTTCCCCCCTGTACTTCCTAGAAGGCTTTTTGAACATCAAATGAAATAACAGATGTAGAAAAAAGCTCTGGTGCCAAAACCAGTTTGGCTCAGTGGATAGAGCCTGCGGACTGAAAGGTCCCAGGTTCGATTCCAGTCAAGGGCATGGACCATGGTTGTGGGCACATCCCCAGTAGGGGGCGTGCAAGAGGCAGCTGATGGATGATTCTCTCCCATCGATGTTTCTAATTTTCTATCCCTTTCTCTTCCTCTCTGTAAAAAGTCAATAAAATATAAATTTAAAAAAAAAAGAAAAAAGAAGAAAAAAGCTCTGGAAACTGGAAACCTTCTATAGATATGCATGTACCTTTGTAAACTTGGATTTGGGGGCCTAAGAAAGAGTTGCAGAGGAGATTCAGAACTTCCAAGAACGCCATGACTGTCACCGCCCCTTCCTCCCTCTCACAGTGTAGGCTGCGAAGTAAGAGGAAGGAGTACGAATTCCTTGTGAACTTCCATTTCTTGCTCGTGCCTCTTAACTATAAAAGGGCAACCATTAGTTCCCCTCCTGACAAAAGTCGCTTCCTGAGAAGAGATGTTAATGTATTGCAAAAAGTCCCCATAAAACTACTGTCAAAAACGGAATTGGAAAAAATACGTGCAAGAGACATTAAGCTCTTCACTGCACACAAGCCCAGAGTTTGGTCTTTTCTTTCAATCACCAATCACTAGGATTTGAAAAAATAAAAAAATAAAAATCACCAGTTACATATTGAATACTCCCGAATATAGGCTCTTAAACCAAAAATTACAATTTTGAAACAAACGTTTTCTTTCTAGTTTATTACCCATTCTGGAGACAGTGATTTATTAACCTGGGTTTGTTTTGTTTTTGTTTTTATTTTTTCACAAATTCTAATAGGTTGAGTGAAAAGGGTTATCCAAATATACAGCTCTTCCTTATGGAAACAATCCCCTTTAATATGATCAGGTATTTCCTGGGCCTTGATTACTTGTTGTCCCACGAAGTCCTCTGTCCTCCAAACATTGTGCTTAGCTCAACCTAAAATACGATGTGGCCTCCTTTCTCAGCGGGACACCCGGCCGTCCCGCCGGGTCACTGAAGACAGACACGCTGTTCGCATCACTAACCAGGAGTCGTGGGCAGCCAGCGAGCTCCACAGGAGCATCTGGGCTGCGGACGCTACCAATCACCCTTGTAACTTTAAGAGGAATGCATCCAATTTAGGAAACTAGGCGGCACCAGCCCTCCGCCCTCCCTCGGAGGTTGGCCCGGGAGGAGGCGAGGCAGTGGGTGAAAGACGACTTTGGCTTTTGCCCTCCCGCGGACTTTGTCCCTCCCCGATCGCCCAGCCCGGAGCAGCCGCTGCCCGAGCCAATGGCCGGGGACCGCCCCTGGCCCAGCCCCGCGGAAGGAACGGTTTCGGAGTTGTTTCTCTTTAATAGAGAAGCCCTGCCTCGCTCTGCCTTGGACTCCTTCCTTCTCTCTCTCTAGGGTTAGAGGGAGCCACCCTCCCCTTCCCCTTCTGCAGCTCAGGGAGTGATTGGTAAGCACCCCACATCCTCGCAGCAGCAGCAGCAGCAGCAGCAGCAGCAGCAGCAGCAGCGACCATGATAAAGCTCGTCCTGGACTGCCTCCTGCTCCTGCCCCTGCTGCTCATCTTCCTCCTGGAGTCTCTCCTCAAGTCCTTCATCCCCAAGAAGAGGAAGTCGGTGGCGGGAGAAGTCGTCCTGATTACGGGAGCCGGCCACGGCATCGGGAGGCTGACCGCCTATGAGTTTGCCAAGCTGAAAAGCAAGCTGGTGCTGTGGGACATCAATAAGGTAGTAAATCGTGTGGGGCTTTGCCCTTTCCCCCTCTCTGGTACCTGTAATCGGTGGGCATGTGTGCGTGCTGCAGGCGGCAAGCCCTGACAGCATGAGCTGTGAAGGAGGAGGTAGGGAAAAACTGCTATTGCCAAGTTATAGATAGGGGGTGAGGGGGGAGGGGGGAGGGAGACACGGATTAATGAATGTGTTTATGACCATGTGATACAGGGACCTGCTCATTTAACATGTAAATGTATCCTCACTGTTGCCCTGGAAGCAATTTGTGATTTCCTCCTCAACTTGATTTCACTGATCCCTCCGTCTTAATCACAGGGAAAAAGTAATAGTTTTAGCTAGTATAATAAACGAGTAAGAGGGTTGTACCTATTAAGGGAGAAAAAAAAAATCCTACTTGCAGTTAATTGAGATAAGAGGGTGTAAGATACCCAACAGAAAGCAACATTACTATGCCATAGTAATTTCCAAGAGTACTTTAAAAACAAAACAAAACACATTTTAGTTAAAAACAACAAAAAAGAAAAGCTTTAATGTCATTTTTATCAGAATAGGTATAGGCTTAAGGAAGAGAGGGGGACTTAGAATTTTACTTTTTTTTTTCTTCAAAAAAAATATGTTTTTGTTGATTTTTGAGAGGGAGAAGGAGAGAAGCAATGGATCTGCTGCCTCCTGCAAGCTCCCTACTGCAGATTGGCCCTTGGGCCTGCTGTGACCTCTTGGTTCATGGGAGGATGCTCAACCAACAGCCACAGGAGCCAGGGCTAGTGATTGATGTACAAAGAGGTTCCTGGAAGCACGCTGCCTGAAATGCCATACCTCACACATCGGTAACAATGATGTAAGCACGAATTTATGGGATGAGAAGTTAGATGATCGACATGGCCAACCCAGTGTGTGGTAATTGAGAGAGCAATCAACAAGTACTTCCTGAGTCTCTGCTGCCTAGATTTTAGGAACACAGGGCAAACAGGACACAGGGTCAGATGCCCTCGCTATAGTAAGGAAAATAGACATTAAATAATGACACATTCAATGAAAAATACAAACTAGGCCCAGCCTAGTCTGGTGCTGACAAGGAAGTGTTCTGGTAGGGTGGGGTCAGACTCATCTGACGTCTCTACTACTTCATTGATAATGTACCCAATACCCTGGGTAACGCCCCAGAGCAGGGTTCCGCAAACTCATCAATCAACAGAGCCAAATATCAACAGTACAACGATTGAAATCTCTTTTGAGAGCCAATTTTTTTAAAACTTAAACTTCTTCTAATGCCACTTCTTCAAAATAGACTCGCCCAGGCCGTGGTATTTTGTGGAAGAGCCACACTCACGTGGCTCATGAGCTGCCGTTTGCCGACCACTGCCCTAGAGCTTTAGGTTCCTTTTCTGAAAAATTGATGAAATAATAGTACTTACCTTAGAGGGCTGGAAGGATGACATCAGATATTGCACACAAAGCACAGGTTCTGGCCCTCAGTATATGCCAAATAGTGCACACTTACTGTGACATAATATGGACTCCTCTTGGCCTTGAACTTTATGACCCAGCATCACCAATCTCCTAATGCTTCCCCAGAGGGTCTTTCCCCCCCCCCCCTTTAAAAAAAAAGATATTTTATTGATCTTTTTACAGAGAGGAAGGGAGAGAGATAGAGAGCTAGAAACGTCGATGAGAGAGTAACATCGACCAGCTGCCTCTTGCACACCCCCTACTGGGGACGAGAGAGTAACATCGACCAGCTGCCTCTTGCACCCCCCCCACTGGGGACGTGTCCGCAACCAAGATATATGCCCTTGACCGGAATCGAACCCGGGACCTTTCAAGTCTGCAGGCCGACGCTCTATCCACTGAGCCAACCCTGTTTCGGCTTATCTTTCTCCTTCACTTACACTCTGTCTGGCGTGTCCTGCCCTCTCTTTGCATAGCTGCTTTGCTCAGGCTTAAGATCCACCTCGGGTACGTCCTCTTCTAGAATTGCACTATGACCCTTCTCTGTGTTCCTGTAACTCTTTGTAGATCTGTTAATAAACTTATCACAATATGTTAGTTTGAACCATATGAAACCGCCAATATCCAATCCTTTATTCTAAAACAAAAACAGTTTCACTCTGGTTGGCATGGTCCAGTGGTTAGAGCTTCGGCCCACCCACCAAAGGGTTTCGGGTTTGATTCCGGGGCAAGGGCAGGTACCTTATTTGCAGGTTCAATCCCCAGCCTGGATTGGACACGATGTGCCTCTCTCATATCCATGTTTCTCTCTCCCTCTTCTACTCTCTCTCCCTCCCTCCCCCTCTTCCTTCCACTCTCTAAAAATCAGTGTAAAAAAATATCCTTGAGTGAGGATTAATAAAATATATATATATATATATATATATATAAAATAACAATTCTGGATGGTCCTACACACACACACACACACACACACACACACACACACACACACACATATATATATATATATATATATATATATATATATATATATATTTTTTTTTTTTTTTTTTTTTTTCCCTCTTTCTACAACACTGAGCTCACTGAGGTTAGGACTCTGGCTCGTTCATATTTGTGTCCATAAGTTTCTTCTAAGCACCATGGATATGACCTACACATTAAAATGTTGGGGGGAATGAGTGAATGAATGATAGTTAACTCCTTATTTATTTTGTAGCCAGAAAATTGATGGCCATGAGTAACTTTTAGTGACAGAGAAGAAAAAAAAAAGCTTAGTGTTATTTTTTAAAGCCTAATCTGGAATATACTCTCATACCTATATACATTCCCAATGCAAAATTAATCATACAAAATTTTAAGATTTTTATCTTATTTTTCAAAGCTTGCTTTCAATTTCACTTCCAGCTAAAAGAAGCTCTGCAAAGCATTGTCAAAAATGTGTCAGTTGAATTCTTGCCCAATCCCTGTTCCAAGATTCTGACTCCCTTTAATGATTTTCAGCTGTTGTTATAGTTCGCTCACCATTATTGTGTTCCCCTGCCTCTTTGTTGCTTTTCCTAGCATGGCATTGAGGAAACAGCGGCTGAATGCAGGAAACTGGGTGCTCAGGCACATGCCTTTGTGGTAGACTGCAGCAACCGAGAAGATATTTACAGCTCGGCGAAGAAGGTGACATTTCACATTTGGTTGGAATCATCTTGTGTCAGGGCTGGGAGGGATTTTGGAGATGGCCCAGTCATGATGCAGACAAACTAACAGAAGTTGGTGATTTGCCCAAGGCTGTACAGCTAGCTAGTGGGCAGACCCAGAACTAAAGCCCAGAACTGAGGTTCCAGAATTTAATGTGTTCCAAAATCTTCCAGGCAGCTTGTTTAAAAGAGAGAGAAAAAAAAATAGGCACCCCAGAAATTTTCTTTCAGTGAGTGGGTCAAGAGCTGCGCCCAGGAATTTGCATGTTTAGTATCCTTGCACCCACACCTCCCCATCTGATTTTGATGCAGGTAAATCCTAGGATGACGCAGCAGAATCACTAACAGTCTTCTGAACTCCGGTCAAAGAACTGAGTTAGGAAGATAAGATTACGGCTTATCAGGCTTTGAGCATAGACATATCTATTTCTATAAAGCAGTATCTGCCTAATCTATACATAACTGAGCTGTGCTATATATATATATAATGGTGTTTCTTCTGAACACATTCATGAATAAGCTTGTTAACTAAATGTGGTAACAGTAGGAAGGCCAGTAGAATTATCTGGGCAAATTCCTTAAAATAGACCTTCCTGGACCTCACCCCTGGATATTCTGATTCAGTACAGTATAAAGATTCTGATTCTGCCAAGACTTGAGAATCTCTGGAATTTTAGTTTTGAGAACATCTTAACTTCTATTTTAAAGTATAGTCTTTTATTTCTAATTGATGCCTCTGTTGTTGGTGAGGCCTTTGCTAGGTCAGTAGAGTCGGTAGACATTACCCAGGCTAGTGGTGGGAAGTGGCCTTCAGGAAAGGGCGTAAGATCAAGGCCTTTGGGTAAGAAACATCTGCATTCCTCACCATAACTAGTTTACTTACGTTAATAATGATTTTCCTTCATGGAGATGAGGTAATCTTCCAGTTAATACTGGCTTTATCACCTTGGGCAAATTACCCAGCCTCTTTGTGCCTAACTTTCCTCAGTTATAAAATGGGGATCACAGCAGTCCCTACCTCATAGGGCTGTGGTGAGGATTAAATGAATTAATGATGTGAAGTTATTAGAACAATACCTGGTGCTCAGTAGTCACGTGGTAAGGATTACTTGTTAGTGTTATACTGTTGCCAGGGGAAATGGGGGCCTGCTTGGGATATTCGGTCTCCTAGGGTGAGCCCTGGGGAGTGTATGAAGCTGTTACTTCCTGGTGAAACAAGCAGGCTTATGGCCCATATCAGCTCGCTGGCTTATTGGGCTGAATAATGTTCTGATCCCTTTTGCTCCTTACCTTTATGAACATCCAGGTACTCCTGCTAACAATAATAGAAACATAACAAAATCTATGTAATTTTGTTATCAGCCAATATTAAGGGGATTTAATAGTGTTACTTAATCTAAATGGAACACACTCATTTCCAGACTCATTTGAGGATAGGCTTTTCTGGGAAAGATAACTTTATTATTTGAAACCATTCCATGTTATTTTAAGCATAGTGTTTTCACAGAAATTGTTCTAAGATAAACTGTGTGCTTGAACAGAGTATGCACAATAGCAAATGATTACCAGATATTTTGAAGCAGCTATTTTGATGAGGCTGTTTTGATATCAGGACACTTTTATGTCACCTAAATAATAAAGCTCTTGGCTCTCATTATTATTAATTAATAATTATTAATAAATATTAATTAATTATTATTCTTTCATTATTAAGAAAGTAGAAACCCAGTGCATGAAATTCGTGCACTCAGGGAGTTGGTAGTGTCTCTCAGCCCAGCCTGTGCCCTCTCGCAGTCCAGGAGCCCTCAGGGGATGTGTGACTGACAGCTTAGGCCCACTCCCATGCATGCCTAAGATGGCAGTCAGACATCCTTATTGCTGTCATGGAGGTGGAAGAGGCTGCACTCGCCAGCCATGAACCAGGCTTCTGGTTGAGTGGTACTACCACTGTGGGAGCACACTGACCACCAGGGGACAGCTCCTGCATTGAGCGTCTGCCCTCTGGTGGTCAGTATGCATTATAGCAACCTGTTCATTCCGCCATTCAATTTGCATATTAGCCTTTTATTATATAGGATGTTTAAATCAACATTCTCATTCTGGGGAAAGACAATGGGTGATGATGGGGAGGATGACAGAAGGGCCAGAGGGTCTGAGCAAAACTTTGGCAATATGAAACAATAATTTTTATATATTTTATTTATTTATTTATTTATTTATTAGTAATTTATATTTTGAGTCATGGTAATTTGGAAGCATTACAGCAGCTTCATAAATTCAATCACAGGAAAGGTGCTGTTTTTCTCAATGTAGGGGCATTATTCTAAACAACAATTTTCCTATTGTGCTAGAGATGTGGATATAGGAACAAAAATGTGTTGATTAAGGACCAAAATAACTTACCTTGACTCTAATAATTTAATACAACCTGATGAAAGCGTGACTGAGGAACTGATTTCCTTCTGGGATGGTGAGGGGCCTCCCCCTCGTGACTTCCCCTCTGTTTGAGGTCTGCGATGTGTCCTGATCTCTGAGGTCAGTAAATCTGGGAGAGCCCCAACTCCATGTGACCTTTAGTCACCATGTGACCTTTGGCAAGAAAGTGAGCCATTCTGGGTTTCATGTTTCTCATGAAAATGAGCATACTAAGAGTTGCTATCTCAAAGAATCATGTGAGAGTTCAAGGAGATAGTGAAGTTCTGTAAAATGCATGGCAATTACATATGTGAAAGCTTTTAATAGGCTAGTTGCCACCTGCCCCTCAGTCCCCCAAGACACCGCAGAGTTATCTAAATAATGATAGCTCTGTTAACAGAGGCTTGCTTTTGTTCGGAACACAATGTATAACAAAATGCATTGCTGCCCTAGAGTTCTACCCACCCAGCAGCCTGAAATATAGAATAAGATACTCCTGCATTGCTAGCCCTTCAGTCTACTGCAACTTCATGGAGAAAGGTTGGGGAGCAAGAGAATGGAGTACCATCAAAATAAGTAGAGGATGTAGGTTAGTTTAATGGTGTCATCGGTTTTACATAGTTCCTCATAATAGTCCCTGCACTTGCCAATTAATTAACCTTTTTTCCCCTTACCTTTGAAAGTAGTATTTTCAAAATAAAGGTGCTTATTTGTCACGAGTTACGTTTTTGTTAGCCACATGCCTCCTGAGCTATAATCGATAGAGCAAAGTCAAGAGACTAAATTGCAAAAGAAAATGTACACACAGAGTTATTTTGAAATTAATTACCTAAGATTAAAAAGTTCTCTTTTTTTTTTTTCATGTTGGCACATAGATTCAAAATTATATTCCCCCCCACACACACACAGCTAATAAAAAAAATACACACTTTCAAAAGTAATCATTGCATGCAAACCTACCTGCATACTTCTTAATTATACAGATATTTTTCTTGTTTTTAAAGGTGAAGACAGAAGTTGGAGATGTTAGTATTCTGGTAAATAACGCCGGTGTGGTCTATACAGCCGATCTGTTTGCTACACAAGACCCTCAAATTGAAAAGACTTTTGAGGTTAATGTACTTGCACATTTCTGGGTAAGTATGATTTCTTTCAGTCTTCTTGTAAAACTTGAAGATTAAATTTTAAGTGAAGCTTTCATTAGATATAAGGACATATCAACTCAATGCTAAAGTTTTTGCTAGGTACCGGGGATAATATACAAAAAGATCATTTTTCTTCTTTTAAAATATATTTTTATTGACTTCAGAGAGGAAGAGAGAGAGAAACATCCATGATGAGAGAGGATCATTGATTGGCTGCCTCCTGCATGCCCTCTACTGGGGATCGAGCCCACAACCCTGGCATGTGCCCCTGGCCGGAATCAAATCTGCGACCCTTTAGTCCTCAGGCTGATGCTCTATCCACTGAGCAAAATTGGCTGGGGCTAGATCATTTTTCTTTTTGCTACAATCAAATTTCATCAGGTATTTTTCCTTCCCCCTTAAAAAATATTAATAATAATAAATAAATAGTAATAAACCTCAGGTGGTATTTATGTTTTCATTCTAAGCTAGATTCTCATGTCTCTGTCTGTTTAAAGATGAAGAAGAGATTAGGGATACTCTGAGTTATCTTCAGTGGTTCTATAAAAGGGGAACTCTTGCTTTTTGTAGTCTAATGAGACCCAGGCCTCCCATTATATCCTGGCTCCAAATGCAAACTTTATTATGAAAATCACCATTCAAGGTCTTAAATACACACACATACAAAGTTTCTGAGGAGTCTACTGCCCAAATAGTCAGTTTCTTCAAGGGACCCTGAATGTTTGGGATGAGTAATCTCAAAAGAATATTGGAGTTATTTGGTAAAAAATGCAGTATTATGTCATGTTAACATTCCCAAGTTGTTGATACCTATCTGCATTTTTATGACTTAGGAATTTGCTTATCTTTCTGCCTCTTTTGAAATGTAAGATTTTGTCTTACCTGTTTCTGAATCCCCATCACATAATAGGCGCTCAGGAAATATTGTGTGGGTCCTTCAGTGATGATTGGAAGACTGCTTTTCACTTCAATATTTTTATGGCAAACTCTTTCCTAACAATTTCACATTAAGATAGAATATATCATTAACAAAAGGTGGTGGACTAGTGGACATAAGTTGTTTGCAATTTAAATGAGATGGATTCTTAAAGTTTTCAGTACCCATGGTTTACCTTAATTTTCCTACCCAATTGCCTTAGGTTGCCACATTTGGCAATTAATGTAGGTATTTTAATTTTTGTCAGGAACAATGTTAACAGAATGTATCTTTGTTTCAAAATATTTCCCATGGGTCTGCAAATCAGAGATAATTTTTTTCCCCTGTTTTATAATAACTACTTCTAGACTACCAAGGCATTTCTTCCAGCTATGATGAGGAATAATCATGGCCACATTGTCACTGTGGCTTCAGCAGCTGGGCACACTACAGTTCCCTTTTTAATGGCTTATTGGTAAGTGAACATGTGTGTTTTCATTGGTTGCTATGCTTAGCTTTGTTGCACAATCTCTTGTGTAACAACATTATCAACTATTAATCCCCCCTACTCTGTTGACCACTCTAGAGGTGGCTACAGAGAAATTACCCAATTAGAAGCCAACTGCTTCAAAATTTTTTTTTTATCTCTTTTAGTAGCAAGAGATTATAAAATAAGAGCAATACCATGAACAGAACTTAATATTTATAATTTTAGCCCTGGCCGGTGTAAATAAGTAGTTAGAGTGTCCGCCCAAGCATCAAAGGGTCTCGGGTTCCATTCCCAGGCAGAGGCACGTGGCTGGGTTGCAGGTTGATCCCCAGCTTGGTCAGGGAGTGTATGGGAGCTACTAACTGATGTGATTCTGTCAACATCATGCTTCTTTCTCTCCCCGCCCACCTCTCTCCCTCCCTCTCTCTCTTTCTCCCGCTCTCTCTCTTTCTCTCTCTCTCTCTCTCTCACTCACTCACTTTCTTCTCTTCCTACCTTTCACTCTCTCTCTTTTTTTAAAATATATTTTTATTGATTTTTTTACAGAGAGGAAGGGAGAGGGATAGAGAGTTTGAAACATTGATGAGAGAGAAACATCGATCAGCTGCCTCCTGCACACTCCCTACTGGGGATGTGCCCACAACCAAGGTACATGCCCTTGACCGGAATCGAACCTGGGACCTTTCAGTGGGCAGGCCGACACTCTGAGCCAAACCAGCCAGGGCTTTCAGTCTCTCTCTCTCTCTCTCTCTCAAAAAAAAAAAAAAAAAAAAAAAAGGAAAAAATGTCATTGGGTGAGGCTTAACAACAAAAATATGAATACGTAAGTTTGCAAAGATATATACCAATCCATTTATCTAACCACACCTACAGAGTGGTTATTCTCAGGTAATGGCAATAAAAGTGATTTTTATTTTATTCTTTTTGTTTTCTTTTTTCCTTTCTGACCATTTATTTGTTTTATAATAGTTTTAAAAATAAATATAATCATGGATTGAGTTGTGGGGTTTTTTGTTGTTATTGTTTTTTAAGATGAAATAATTGCTGAAGCAGTCATAGAACAGATCTATAGTCCTTGCCTCTTTCGAAGTAAATTTAAGTTAGGAGATTGGCCGCTACCATCAAAGGCTAGCACAGTTTTACATGGCTAGCACATGACATGCCACTGCCCTGCCAAATTCCGTCTTCGTCCCAGCTAATTAGAGAACATAACAGGGCCATCAGTCCTGTTGGGCTTCCTCCTTCCCTTGCCACAGTGAACATCGTAGTTCTTCTGATTCTGAGTTGGTTCTACCACTGAGGTTTGCAGAGAAAGTCAAGCGAGAATGTGCTTTGTGTGTGAGAAAGAGATTTATCATGGTGACTGGTGATGGTCTGTCAACAGAAGGAAAGGTCCTTCTCAGGTATTGTCGGAGCTGGAACAACATACCCAGCTGTGCAGATTGTGTGCTGCACAATTCTAGGGGACGCTGCTCGCATTCAGGTCATTTTACATGTGAATGATTTTCCAGATGTGTAGGCAGTAAAATAGCTTGAGGAGAGAAGTGGCCTTTTCAAATTCACACAGAGGCGGCATTTGGGGTGCAGCTACACAGGTGGTGTGTACACATGCAGCTTTGGGACAGACCCGTGCTGTGCTCGCCCTCCCAGGACTCCCGGGTGGACCCTCGGCTCTCACTGGCCTGAGCTGCAGCCTGTGATCCTTACTGACCACAGTTATCTAAAATTCAGCTGGCTCTGGTTTTTGCTCAATATCAGATCAATGGCAGAGCTTGCACAGAGACGGAGGACTTCACCAAGCAGAATACAATGTTTATCAGCTGTTGTTATCACCGATTGGGCGGTTAAACTGAGATGCTGCTTTTAAAAACATAAACTGAAGTATAACATACACCTATCAAAATGCAGAAATCATGAATGTACCGCTCAATAAGTTACTTCAAGGTGGACTCAGCTATTTAACCTCCATGCAGGTCAAAATCAGAACTTTACAGAAGTGCCTCTTCCCAATCACCAATTCCTCTTTCCTTCCCAGAGGAAATGCCTATATTGACTTGTTATACCATTGATTATTTTGCCTATTTTTGATCTTTATATGCATGGAAGCCCACTATGGTTGTAACACTTATTCATGTTGTTGTTAGTAGCTGTAGTTTAATCACTTTCATGCCCATCTAGTATTGCATCATATAAGTAAACAGTTATTTATTATCCTCCCACTGTTGATGGACATTTGCATTGTTTACAGGCATGATTACTATGAGTAATGATGTTTAAAATCTTGACTTAATCACTTAACTAACCTTATGTGATCTTTGGCAAGCTACTCAACTTATATATGCGTCATTTTCCTCATCCATAGCAACTAATTAACTCATCAGGATGCTATAAAGTTTAAATCATGTAATGTCATGCACTTAGCATAGTGTCTGGAATTCTGCAAGTGTTCGATAGCAGGAGGATACCTATTGATTTTCTGTGTCATGACATTGGCACTCTTTGTTTACACACCTTTCAGTTTAGCTTCCACAATGCTTTGTCCTAGTGGAATGAATCATATATGCTCTGCTCCTATTTGTTAGAATGAAATCAGAGGGGACCCAGAATTACCTGTTTTAGGCTCTGTAATTCAGCCTTCAGCTATCATTATCCTGAGTTGCTGCAGCCATGGCAAAAGAATCTATTACGACTCTAATCACCTATTAGAAAACGAGTCAATTTCTTTTGGATTTATAGTTCAACATTTTTAACAATTAATGTGTAAAAAGGCAAGATGGAAAAACTGAATTCATGATGAGAGAGGCTAGTCCTTTGATTGTGTTCCCTTGCTGCTTACTAAGTATTTTGTCCAAAGGTGTCTCGATTTTTAAAAAGAAAGCAATTTAGTGCCACAAAACTCTGGCTAATACATCTTGTCAATTCAAATAGCCAATTTGTAAGCATGAAAGTTAGCGGTATGGCAAGACAAGGTAAGACTGAGTTCTGATCTTAGCTTGTAATGAAATGTTATTTAAAAAAATAATTTGGGCAGGCACCGGTTTGGCTCAGTGGATAGAGCATCGGCCTGCAGACTGAAAGGTCCCGGGTTCGATTCCGGTCAAGGGCATGTACCTTGGTTGCGGGCACACCTCCAGTAGAGGGTGTGCAAGAGGCAGCTGGTCGATGATTCTCTCTCATCGATGTTTCTAACTCTCTATCCCTCTCTCTTCCTCTCTGTGAAAAATCAATAAAATATATTTTAAAAATAATAATAATAATAATAATAATTTGGAATAAGAAATATTAGTTCAGATTGCTAAGAATAAGAAATGTAATATACTGTTACAAAGTGCAGGAAAAAAAAAAACGCACTCAAAGGTTCAAAACCATAAAATTATTTTAACACATTCAAGATCATTAACTTTGAGTTTTAATATATTCCTGCATTCTTGATTCACTTAAAAAAATTAGAAAATACATTTCAGGAAAAGAAAAAAGAAAATTTACTGATAATTTCACCATGCAGGAAAGAAAAAACCTTGGTAAGCATTTGTTAGAATTTTTAGGGCACTTTTTTTATTTATTTAAAATATATTTTTATTGATTTTAGAGAAAGGAAGGGAGAGAGAGATAGAAGCATCAACGAGAGAGAATCTCTGATTGGCTGCCTCCTGATTGCCCCCTATTGGGTATCGTAGCTTGAAACCTGGGCTTGTGTCCTGACCAGGAATCAGACGGAAATGTCCTGGTTCACAGGTCAACACTCAACCTCTGAGCACACTGGCCCAGTTAGGGCATTTTACATGCAGATATATATAGTCATTCCTTGAAAAAAAAAAATCTATGTACATGATCTTGCTTTTTTAAAAAATTTAAAATAAGCTTTTTGCCTGTTAATAAATGTATATGTGCTACATCATTTTCAATTTCTGCATGGTATGCAACTGTTTTTCTCTCACATCTCTCTATCTCTTTTTCTTTGTTCTCCCTTCCCTCCCTCCCTCCCTCCCATTTCCTCTCTAAAATTCAATAAATTTAAAGAGAACTTTCCACAACTTTGTATTTCCCAAAGCACGGGTTAATGTATAAGAATTTAGAGCTACTTTATATAATTGCTAATCCATATAGATTTCTAGAAGAATAATCTATCTGATAATGCCACTGAACTTTGCACACTTTAAATTGGTTAAAATTTCAAATTTTGTTACATATATTTTTCACATAGTTTTTTTTTTAAATGAATGTTATATTCTAATAACTATTGAATTGTACACTTTAAATGAGTCTATATAGTATGTGAATTTATATCTCAATAAAATTGTTTTTCTAAACACCTAACTGGAATCATAATACCCACTTAAAATATGGTTAATGTCTTTTCTCTTTCCAAATATGCTCTGATGGAAAACTGAAGATTATTATATAATGGGGAAATAATTTAGACCAGGGGTTAGGAAAGGCCTCTTTGAGGAAGTCAAGCTGAGACTTAAAGGAAGAAAAGAATTTATGCAGGGAATTTTTCCAATGAATTTCATGAACATATTAAACAGTGAGTAGCCTATAGTGCCATTCAATTTTATGGGAACAGCAACAACAAAAGAAGCACCCTACCAATATCCCTAACAAAACATTTAAATCTCCTCAGATGTCACTGATAAATAAATGATGTTGGGGTGCAGTCAGTACTTCCTTTTTTATTATTATTATTATTTTATTTCAGAGAGGAGGGGAGAAGGAGAGACAGAAACATCAGTGATGGGAGTGAATCATTGATCAGCTGCTTCCTGCATGCCCCCAACTGGAGACTGAGCCCTCAAAAAGGGGCATGTACTCTGACCAGGAATGGAACTGCGACCTTCTGGTTCCTAGGTCAATGCTCAAGCACTGAGCCACACCTGCCAGGCCTGTCAGTGCTTCTTAGACTTGAATGTGCCTCGGTTGCTCCAAGGATCTTCTGAATGCAGGTTCTGTGTCAGCAGGTCTGGGCTGGGTGTTTTTGAGATCCCAGTGCTGCCCACACTTCTCAGCAGGGGGCCACACTTACCTAAGGAAAACAGATTTCCGAATTAAACAGAAGCAGCAGTTTCCTTGAATTATTTTGCAACCTCTCTCTGTGTATTTTCAGCTCCAGCAAGTTTGCTGCTGTGGGATTCCACAGAGCTTTGACTGACGAACTGGCGGCCTTGGGAAGAACTGGAGTCAAAACCTCATGTCTCTGCCCTAATTTCATAAACACCGGCTTCATCAAAAACCCAAGCACCAGGTAAGCTGAGACAGAAATGGAGATAAAAGGGTTGGCGATTACGTGAGAATGAGCCACTCTGTGGGGTTTCTTAAGTATTTTAATCCTTTAAATACCTGGTATTCAATGTCCTTCACTCATCTCAATTTCAGCTTCTGTAGATTGTGTGAAAACAGGTATAGAGACAGAGAGGGAGAGAATGTATACAAGTGTTCATATGAATGACCCAGGTGAACCTGCTAATCCTCCCCTTTTTCTTCCCCTAAGCCAGTGTTTCCCAAAGTGTGGTACGTGTACCCCCAGGGATTCGGGAAGAGTTTGGTGGGGGTACGAGTTGCACCGGAGTTTGGTGGGGATATGCACTGAACCGTGCTTAGCTGCACCTAATTCTATGTTCTCATGAGTACGAGGGGTACTCAGTGTTATAAAAATTATAGAAGGGGTACACATATGTCAAAAGTTTGGGAAACACTGCTCTAAGCAATGGTTCTTAGACATAAGTAGGCACACATTTCTATGAGTGCTTGGGAACCGTGTAGAGGACCCACCCGCAGGGATGCTGAATTTTATTTGGTTTGGTTGGGACGGGATAGTTAGTATTATAATTGGGTTGGGGACTTGGAACTGTGTATGTTTAACAAGCGTCACAGGCCATTCTGATGGAGATGATGAGGCCCACACTGTGAAAAACACTTTCCTTTGCTAATCTAGAGCTAATCTACCAGATTGAGTACCAGACCGTGATGTTTCCTTGGTTAAAAAGTAAAATTGTAAGGATCTGCTCTAAAGTTGATTTTAATGTTTCCTGTTTTTGGGAATAGCTTTAATGTTTTTGTAAACATAATGTATACTTTTTAAAAATTCCAGCAAACAGGAATGTACAAATAAGAAAGTTTTGTTTTAAAATTTCTTAAAATCTTCTATCCAGTTGAAACTACTCAACATTTCGATGAACATCCTTCTAATCTAGACATTTTCCTATGCACAGATTAAATGTCTAAATTGTATGTAACTAGCATAATATTACACACGCGATTCTAGAAACAGTAAGTAAACTGCTCACTTCCCTCAGCATGATGTTTATAGATAGTACTGTATTAAAAACTTCGAAGTTGGATCTTACTGTTCCCACCACAAAAAAGAAATAATAATTATGTGGCATGACATAATTATGCTCATGCTGTGGTGATAATCATACTGCAATATGTAACTATATCAAATCAACACGTAGTACGCCTCAAACTTACACCGTGTGATGTTTCAATTATGTCTCAATAAAAATTAATTAAAATAGTTCACTAAAACTGAAAGGCGGTGTCAAAGGAAGAGGCATCATACCCAAGGATAGGATTTGCCAATTTCCTCCATTATTTTCAGAATTTAAGTACTAAAATAATATATTTGAGCCAAGTTTCCCTCACTTGGACTGTCTTTCAGCAGTTAAAAACAGACAGCAGATATTTAAAAATTATAATTGGATTTTTTCCCCCTCACCCCCAGAACAGGGCTGCACGAGGCTGAGAATTGAATGTGCCTCTCAGTTGCCCCACAGATCTTCTGAATGCGGTTTGGTGTCAGTAGATCTGGGCTGGAGTGCCCTCTTCTGGCAAAGCTCCACTAGTACAATCTTCTATAACAAAAGGCTAATATGCAAATTGAACGAACCTGGGCACGACCAGTGGCCTTGATGCACACTGACCACCAGGGGGCAGATGTTCAATGTAGGAGCTGCCCCCTGGTGGTCAGAACACCAGAAGCTGAGCTCATGACTGGTGAGCGCAGTGGCAGTGGCGGGAGCCTCTCCCACCTCCAAGGCAGTGCTGAGGATGTTCGACTGCTGGCTTAGGCCTGCCCCCCTAAGCCGTCTGTCGGACATCCCCTGCGGGCTCCCAGACTGTCAGAGGGTGCAGGCCAAACTGAGGGACCCCCTTCCCAAGTTCACGAATGTTGTGCACCAGGCCTCTAGTCTATACTAATAAAAGGCTAATATGCTAATTAGACCAGATAGACCAGATGTCTTCTAGATGTTGCAGTGACTGCAAGGGCTGAGGAAGGCTGGTGGCTGGCAGTGGCAGTGGCAGCAGCAGCAGGGTGATGGAAGTGGTGCCTTCCCCTGATCGCCCCGGCGCCTTCCAAAGAGGGATGCCAGACTGCTGCTTAGGCCTGCTCCCCTGTGATAGAAACATCAGGGATGAAAGAGAATCATTGATAGGCTGCTTCCTGCATGCCCCTACTGTGGATCAAACCCACAACCTCCTGGTTCATAGATCAAAGCTCAACCATTGAGCCACACTGGCTGGGTATAATACTACTTTTCTTATTTGTCCCGTCTTTACTGCATATGTAATCTCTCTGAACGACCCATTCTGTATTTGTTCATAAGGAATCTCATCCAATTCTTTTTGTCTCACTTCTCTTAACTAATCACAAAATTTAACATCTGCCTCCACAAAATGTTAGTCACCCAGTTTGGTGACATTGGAAAATTTGAGAAGTTTATTTACTTATGTATCTTTTTATCTAAATCATTAGTAAGATGTTAAAAACTCAGGACCAAGTCTTGTGCAACTCCATCCATCCTGAGTGCATTTATTCTAACACCCAGATAATAAAGGTCACTTTTTAGGGATTGCATGCTACTCAGTAGAACATATACCAGGGTGATTGATTAAACAGTGAAGATATAACATGGAACTAAGTAACAACACCGGAAATGAAACAAAGACCTAATAGAGTGGTGAAGTCAGATCATCAAAGCCATATTAGCATTTCATATAGACATCAAGAACCTAAAACCAGACACATTCCTGTATTTTAATTCCATGACACTTTAGAATTTATTCACTAAAACATCTTAGTATATAATTGCACTTGCATAGTGGTGTCTAACTTCTTTCCCAAAGCTTCTGAAGATTTAAAAGAGAATTTATCAGTCTTAATCTAGCTAAATTATTTTTTGAGTTTTAGTTATGTTTATACTCCTCATTTGCATAGTAGGGAGTATGGTCTCTCCTTCATAGGGTGTTATGAAATTTCAAAGAGATAACCTGTGAGAAATGCTTAGCACGGTGGGCCGTACATACTAAACACCATGTAAATGGTTGTTGTCATTAGTGCCAAAGCAGCTACTATCTTGGAATACTTAGGATGGGCTAGATTTGTTTAGCACTATATTAAAACGGAAGCCTCCGTGAAATGATTTGCTTCTGATTTCAGTTTGGGACCCACCCTGGAACCTGAGGAGGTGGTGAGCAAGCTGATGAAGGGAGTTCTGACTGAGCAGAAGATGATTTTTGTTCCATCTACGGTAAAGCTTTTAACTGTGGTGGAGAGGTAAGCAATGTTTGCCAGCATTATGAATATTCATCCTACATGTTTTTACTCAGATTTATGACTACATCTTTGTACAATGAAATGGAATTAAGTTAACAAAAATGATAGGTTTAAAGGATCCATTAATTTTTAAACTACATTTGTTAATGATTGAAGCGAGATTAGTATAGCAATTGGGTAAATGAGCTGAATAATTTCCACAGGTTTTTAAATGTTTTTAAAGAAATTTATTTAAATTTTTATATATTTATTTTTTTAATATTTTGGAAGTCTTATAAATGAATAAATATGAAGAAAGACCGTTTTTAAACATTAGTACATAATGGAATGATAGGACAATGATATTGGAGAAAGCCATAAGTTACATTTTATATATTCATTTAAATATACAGCAGATAGAGGGTAGGGAGATATGGGGGAGATAAGAGATCAACCGAAGGACTTGTATGCATGCATATAAGCATAACCAATGGACGCAAAACTCTAGGGAGGGAGGGCATGTATGGGAGTGGGGGGTGGCAATGGTAAAATATGTACACATATAATACCTTAATTAAAAAAATGAAAAGAAATAAATAAATATACAGCAGATAATCATTGAGCTCTCATTTTGTGCGAAATCATACTGAAGCACAGGCATTGCTAAGTGATTGTAGAGGTCCTCGAGCCTTGCTACCTCAGATGTGGTCCACGGGCCAACAGCATCTGCAGACCTGGGAGCTTGTTAGAAATGCAGACTCTCCTGATCTCCCGGATCAGAATTTGCACTTTAATAAGATCCACAGGTGATCTGTGTGCATATTCTGATTTAGGAGCATTTCTTTAGACCATTAGCTCTCAACTTTGGTGCACATTGGAATTCACCTGGGAGTTTTAAACATGCTAGTGCCTGAGGCCTACTCCCCAAGATGCTGAGTTCATTGGTCTGGTGTGGCCTGGTGTCTGAGAGATGACTCTAATGCAGCCTCAGGATTGGAAAGCACTGGTTTAAAGAATGCCTCCTCCTAACACATGGTCTCGTCACTCACCTGGGAAAGCTGTGTGCCGGAGAGGCTGGTCAGGCAATGAGGGGAAGCGGAAGAGGCGCCTAAGGTTAAAAACAAAACAAAACTCTTCCTGTTCCTAGAATCTAGCTTCTCCCTCATGGTAGGGTATTGGGACCACTGGGGAAGTCAGTTTAAAAAATAGATTCCTGCCCTGGTCGGTGCCCCAGAAGGTCACTGGTTCGATTCTGGTCAGGGCACGTGCCCAGCTTGTGGGCTCGGTCTCCAGTAGATGACGTGCAGAAGGCTGCCGATGGATGTTTCTCTCCTCTCTCTCTAAAATAAAATTTAAAATATCATATATATTTAAAAAATAGCTTCCTCACCTCTTGAGATTTTAATATAGGAAGTTTGAGTTGGGACCCAGAAATCTTTATTTTAACAGGCAATTGCCACAAGTAGTTGGTTCAAAGGTCATACTTTGAGAACTACAGACCTAGAGACTGAGAAAAATGTAAGAGACCAAAAGCATTAGGACAGATGCCGGGTTTTTAGCGCCTTCTGCTCAGGGACTATGGTTGAACATACTTTAGAGGTTTCGGCAGTAAAGCCGGAGCATCTTCTTGGTGGGTAAACAAGTTAAAGCCTCTGAGGTGTTAGCATTCGATTTGTCTCATCACCGAAGCAGGCACTCAGTGATTACAATGCTTTAGAATATAACTCTGTGAGGGAAGGAATTTGGCCTGTTTTCCTCACTGTATCCTCTGCACTTGGAAGAATGGATAGACACATTCCAGCATCAGAATGTTTGCTGGTTGAATAAGTTAATTCTGTTTCCTAAACCTTTAACACAGAGACTCAAGGTTTGTGCTCTGGAGTTAGGCGAAGCTGTGTGTGTGTGACTTGCTTGCAACATGAACATGGATGAGTTGTCTAACTTTTTGAAGTTCATTTTCTCCATCTGCCACATGGAGACAACATTAAGACTTATAGGGCTATGAGGAATAAATAAAATAAGGCATTTAAAGTATTTAGTACCCCATAAATACTCAATAAATGTTATCTATCACCGTTACTATTATAACTAAAGGCTGGGTGCAACGAATTTGTGCCTTGGGGGTGAGGGGGAGTCCCCTTAGCCCAGCCTGCACCCTATCTAATCCAGGATCCCTCAGGGAATGTCTTAACTGCTGGTTTAGGCTCGATCCCCCTGACTAAACTGGCAGTCAGACATCCTCTCACAATCCAGGACTACTGGCTCCTAACTGCTCACCTGCCTGCCTGCCCGATCATCCCTAACTACCCCCCCCTGCTGACCTGGTCACCCAACTGCCCCCCCTGCCAGCCTAGTTGCCCCCAACTGTCACCCCAGCCACTGGCCTGGTAGCCCCTAACTGCCCCCCCCCATCAACCTGGTCACATCTTACTGCCCCTCTTGCTGGCCTTGTTGCCCTAACTGATCTCTCTACCAGTCTGGTCACCCCTTACTGTCCCCCTGCCAACCTGGTGACCCCAACTGCCCCTCCCACTGCCAGCCTGGTGGCCCCCAACTGCCCCCACTGTGGGTCTGGTTGCCCCACATAGCCTGCTGCTCCATCATTCGGTTGCCCCTCACTAACCCCCCCCCCCACCCCACCAGCCTAGTTGCCCCAGGCAGCCTGTTCAGTCTTTTGTTCGGTTGCAATAGTCACTTAGGCTTTTATAGATATAGATTACCACTGTTACCATTGCCTGATTTTCTTCTATGAATGTTCAGTGCTCAATTTCCAAACTGTATTTGAATGCCCGCCAGGCAGATGTCTGTATATAGTTACACTAACTTACATAGTCTATTTAGTTTCTCTCAGACTCATTGGAATGTGACCTTTTCCTCAATATCCTTAACTATGGAGTGGGGAGAAAAAAATTAGTCCTACTAGATGTCTATCACTGTGTGTAAGGCATTTTATATTAACACATTGAATCTTCAAGTAACTCTGAGGGGTAGGTGTTAATTTTTTCATTTCATGTGAGGAATTTGAACTCAAAAATTAAAATAACTTGTTCAGCATTATGCTGAAAACCAAGTATGTTGTCTGCATTTTATTGAGCAGTTCTACTTCCCCAGGCTCTTAATGGGCCATTTTGATAATATACTAGATTATAAAGTATAAAATTATTTCTTATTCTCACTTCTTTTCCAATGTCAGGTGTGTGTGTGTGTGGGGGGGGGGGTAATAAAGCCTTTAGCATCTCAACTATTGAGTTCTATACACCTCATTTCACATATCTTTTGAAAAATGTAGAGTATATTTATTTATTTTTATTATTATTTTTTTAGTATATTTATTTTTAAAAACAAATATTTCAAGTCACTTCTGCTCTAAAGAATTAAACCTTTCTTTTCCTTATGAAAATAAAGTGGATTTACTTGGAAAGAACATATAGTAGTGACTATGTGTTAAAATCTTAATCTTGTTTAAAATGAACATGGACATGATGCATGACAAATACAAGTATTTTAAGAGAAGATATCTTAAAAATGCACTTGATATTAATTTCCTAATTATATTTATAAATCTTTCTTTTAGGATGTTTCCTGAGCGTTTCCTGTCAATTTTAAAACGGAAGATCGATGTTAAGTTTGATGCAGTTATTGGATATAAAAGTAAAGGAGAATAAGTGCTTGGTTTTTTGAAAATTGATTTAACCAGGTTTAAGTTGATTTCATCCAACGTTAATCAGAATTTTAATGTTTGGACTTCTGCTTTTCTTATCTTTTTTTTTTTTTCAATATCACCTTTTGAGGCTCTGGCGGTCCTCATTTATTATCACTGTTTTTAGCTGAAAGCTAATTTTATATAATACAAAGAGATAAATATCTGAGCAATTACCTTGTGGGAAATGGAGGAAAAGAATAAAAGCAGTTTTACAATAATTTCTGGTTGTGTGGCTCATCTGAAGGCTTTGCAAACTTTGTACTATAAATGTTTAAGATATATTTTTATTTTTAATTATACTTAAATTTTATATAATTCACATATTTCTTTTCCCTATTGTATATAAAGTGGAAATCTCAAGCTCTTTAAATATAATGAAGGACTATATCTAGTAGCATTGCACAAGGAATTTTTATGTGATATAAGAAATGTTCAAACATTTTGTCCTACACATCACCACTGTTTCTTGAGAAGTACCTCATAGTTCAGTGACAAACACTTCAGCACAGGGAAACCAGAAGTGGACACATGTTGCAAATAAATAAAATAAAATAAAAAACATCATTGGGATTTCAGGGAGATAAATGTAAGAATGTACGCATAAGTGACAGTAATAATAAATGGATCAAACTTAAAGTTGTGGTGTTTCCATCTTTGTGTTTTGAATAAAACACGGCTTAATCTTCAGCTGAAAGGGAAATGGATTATGTACTCAAAGGTCTTGGGGTTTTTTTCGTTTTGTTTTTTGTATCTGGAAATATCTCAGATGTGAGACTCAGTGAGATGTATAAGTTCAGACTTATAAATTGAAAAAATAATAGGTTTGTTGGATTTCTATTTAAAAATATTTTCAAGACTGTGTTAGACACATGAAGTAAAGAATATGCATGTGACGTAAAGAACTTTGTTCTTAGATCAGAAAGTTCATACTCAGGAAACCTAAACCTGAGTAACCGACCCCTGTGAAACGTAGCAAATGAACCACATTTAGGTTCAGACACTTCATGGTAAAAGATTTTTATCCATTTTATAAGCAGGAATTAATATTTATTCAACATGTGTCAGGTGTTACCTTAAACACTTGACTTATTGAACAAGTAATATCAATGCCACTGCAGATTCTAAGGGCCATATGACAGTCTAAGGAAAGTTATTTTTTAGATTCTAGACCATACAAGATAATTTCAGAATGTGTCATTCCTACATAAATGTCTTCTTTTTGTCCATCAACTACTTTCCTCTAATATAGAGAATCAAAATATAATTACTGTTGGACTATTTTCTTTTTTTTAAAAAAATATATATTTTATTGATATTTTACAGAGAGGAAGGGAGAGAGATAGAGAGCTAGAAACGTTGATGAGAAACATCGACCAGCTGCCTCTTGCACACCCCCTACTGGGGATGTGCCCACGACCAATGTACATACATGTCCTTGACCGGAATTGAACCTGGGACCTTTCAGTCCACAGACCGACGCTCTACCACTGAGCCAAACCAGCTTTGGCTGTTGGACTATTTTCAACATTTAGTTGAAATAAAGACACATCTCAGTAAAAATGCCTGATTTCCAAATCTTCATTACGTTTGAATATTGTGACTTCGATTCCTCTCCATACATTTGTCGTACTGTAGTAGCACCCTACTATAGTATCAATAATAATAAAAGTGTAATATGCTAATTAGACTGGACATGCTTCCAGACATCCTTCTTTCTGGACAAAGCTGTGGGGCGGGGGGGGGGGGGGGGGGGGGGGGGGGGAGGCACTGAGGCAGAGGCAGCAGAGGTCCCTGGCTGCAGCAGTGGTGGGGGTGGTGGGCGGGAGCTGGGGCCAAGGACCTTGCAAGAATTTCGTGCATCAGGCCTCTAGTCTATGAGAATGACACTAGGAGTCTGTACAGTCAGCTTCTAACTCATTCTCATTTTGAAATAAATGTAATAGATAATTCTTTTAGTTAAGTTATACCTGTTCCAGTTTGCCCAGTGGAACCATGAGGAGAAAGGCTGGGAGAAAGCTGATAGTGAAACTTCAATGAGATAACCGAGGTTCAAAGTGCACTAATAACTTGCCACGTTTCATCACATGTTTTGGCTCTTAACACAGTTGTCTGAAATCAGCACGTGGATGAACTTTGGCCTTAACCAATATGGTGAAGTAATGCTTCTTGGATATTAGACTGACAGAATGGCAATCAATAATTTTTATTAAATGTTACCCACATACAAGGCACAGTTTCCCTTTTCAATCCCCCAGCAATCCCTGTGCAGCAGGCATTGTTGAAGGACTTGAAATGGCTGTGAACACAGCAGGAGTGAGTGGGAACCCAGAGGAACTTCAGAGGTGGAGCCCAACCCTGTGGGAAGGCAGATGATGGAATGAATGCTGTTGGGATTCTGAATTTAGTTCTTGGCATTAAAAAAAAAGAAAAAGAAAAGAAAAAAAAGCTTGCTACAATTCACCAACATCAGGCAATCGCTACTATGACTATAAGTTTGAAAACTTTTGTCATGTGAATGAAGTTAATCTTATCTCTGAACCTACTTTTCATCAGGTTTGCAGCCATTAATAGGGCTGCTTCTGAAGGTCACACAAAAATCAGAGGCTTACATTGTTTTGGGGTGAAAGAGGAAGACAACTCCTTATGTCAACTATTGTGGTCCTATACTAGGACCAATGGCTTGATCTTTTGTGGGATAAAGAAATCCTGACTATGGCAAGAAACCCACCCTCCAATGACAAACCATAAAGCCCTTCTCTGAGTCCTTGCTGTCACCCTGGAGCTCTGAAGCATCACGAGTTCAATTCCCAGTGCAGGGCACACACAGGTGAGGATTTAAAAAATAAATAAATAAAATGCAGAGCCTAAAAATATGTATTTTTCTTTTTTTAAAAAAATATATTTTATTGATTTCTTAAAGAGAGGAAGGGAGAGAGATAGAGAGTTAGAAACATTAATGAGAGAGAAACATCGATCAGCTGCCTCCTGCACACCCCCTACTGGGGATGTGCCCGCAATCAAGATATATGCTCTTGATCGGAATCAAACCTGGGACCTTTCAGTCCGAAGGCTGACACTCTATCCACTGAGACAAACCAGTTTTGGCTAAGCCTGAAAATATTGGAAGAGTCTTAATCTACATTAGACATCATATCCTTCCCCTAAATAGATAAGAATTCTCACTCAACCTTAGAGCCAACCTGACCACTCAAGTTTTTGTTTTTCCCTTTTCTGTCTAGGGTCAACCTCAGAATTAGGGAAATGTGCCTTTTATTTTTGTAGTATTCTCTAAAGTTACCTAATCTCATTTAAGCTAGCTGTCCTGGAACCTCAGCTTCCTCACTTATAAAAGGATCAAATTAGATTCCATAACCTCTTGTATTATCTCCAGTTCAAGTTAAATAAATGTCTATAATAGACACATGCAAAATCAAACATCTATCTATCTTACCTGTATTTCCTAACAGAGAATGGCACTTCTGATAAAAACCTGCAGTTATACCTGTTCCCTTCCTTCTGATCCTTATTCCTCACCCCACCAACACTTCTAATACACACACACACATTTAATATCAGTCACTATTCCCACATTTAGATTTTTAGCCTGAATCTTTTGAACACCAGTTACATATCCAAATGCCTTCTTGACATCTCTGCCTGTATGGCCAACAAGAATTTCAAGGTAATATAGCCAAAATTAAGCATTTGATGTTATCCCGAAACTGCTCCAAACCTTGTTGTTTCCCTGAGACCCTGACCCACCCAAGCTGTGCACAGAGGCTTTTGCACATGAATGGCCTGGCCCTTTGGCATCTAAAATTACCTAACAAACCGAAGCTGGGTCAGAGAGCCCCAGAGCTGCCAAAAGAAGGCCCAAGGCTCCACAGCAGCTTGCATTGCTTCACAGCTGGGCCTCATCTGGGCACCTCCAAAGCCCAAACAAAGAAAAGGAATCTGCTGATCTCTCCATAGCTCCTGCTGGGTGGCCTCAGGCAAAAGCTAAATTTGCACCTCCTTAGAAATCCAGGGGTCAGAGTGGGACCATCCAGATTACAACTCCTCAGATCCATAAGGGACACACTCAGGGGGCAGAGTCAGTGAGCACCAAAGCCCCACTGAAGCAAGTCTTGTCCCATAAGGATATCTCCAGTACTGAAGACACAACTGATCCTCTTTGCCAATTGGCCTAGAGGTCAATTCCTCCCAGTGATACCAACAAAAATCAAGGTTTAACTACAACAAGACTCTGCACATAGCCCATAGAGGGGTGCACCAAGAGTGTCCTCAGGTGATTGGGGACCCTATAGGACACCTAGCACACAAAACCACTCTCTCAACTCAGGGAAGCAGCCAAAAGGTGGAGACAAAGAAACATGTCACAAATGACAGAAATGGAGGCAAGCAAATGACTGGATATAGAGTTCAAAACCATGGTTATAAGTTTTTTCAAGAGTTTTCTAGAAACCGCCGATAAATTTAGTGAGACCCTTGAGGATATGAAAAAAGATCAACTAGAAATTAAGCATACACTGACTGAAATAAAAAAATAATATACAGGGATCCAACAGCAGACTAGAAAATCCCAAGAATCAAGTCAAAAATTTGAAATACAAAGAAGCAAAAAAAAATACCCAACCAGAAAAGCAAAAAGAAAAGAGGATCCAAAAGTATGAAGATAGTGTAAGGAGCCTCTGGGACAACTTCAAGCGTACCAACATCTGCCAGAAGAAGACAGAGAGCAAAATATTGAAAACCTATTTGAAGAAATAATGACAGAAAACTTCCCCCACCTGGTGAAAGAAATAGACTCACAAGTCCAGGAAGTGCACAGAACCCTGAACAAAAGGAATCCAAAGAGGCCCACACCAAGACACATCATAATTAAAATTCCAAGAGCAAAAGACAAAGAGAGAATATTAAAAGCATCAAGAAAAAACAGTTAAAATCCTACAAGGGAGCACCCATACAATTGTCAGCTGATTTCCCAACAGAAACTATGCAAGCCAGAAGGGACTGGCAAGAAATATTCAAAGTGATGAATAATAAGAACCTACAACCAAGATTACTCTACCCAGCAAGCTATCATTCAGAATTGAAGGTCAGATAAAGAGCTTCACAGATAGAAAAAGCTAAAGGAGTTCATCACCACCAAACCAGGATTATATGAAATGCTGAAAGGTATTCTTTAAGAATAGGAAGAAGAATAAAAAGGTGAAGATAAAAATTATGAATAACAAATACATATATATCAACAAGTGGATCTAAAAATCAAGTGAATAAAAAATCTTATGAACAGAATAAACTGGTGAATATAATAGAATCAGGGGCATAGAAAGGGAAGGGACTGACAATTCTCAGAGGGAAAGGGGTGTGGGGGTGCGGGAAGAAACTGGGCAAAAATCGTACATGTATGGATGAGGACAGTGGTGGGGGGGATAAGGGCAGAGGGGGGGTGGGAACCGGGTGGAGGGGAGCTATGAAGGGAAAAAAGAGGAACAACTGTAATCTGAACAATAAAGATTTATTAAAAAAAAAAAACAATGAAGCAAACTGGTATTTGCATCTGACTTTTGAGTAAATTAAAATAAAACAATCAAACAAATTCGCTATCCTATAAGATTTAAGATATAAGATATCTTCAGAACAAAAAAGAAGGTGCTATATCATAAAAGGAACATTTTTAAAAC